CTTTGCCATGCAATTTAATCACTCTAAGACTAGTAATGAAGAATCATTGAAAACAGAATATGATTTTTCTTTTTCTAGAAGAACTTGGAGACTTTCAGAAATCTCTTTCAAAGTAAAAATGATTTTTGAAAATTGTTAGCTTGAAGAGTGAGCTGTTCTATGTGGCAAACTTGGGTAAAGATAGTAATTAGTGAATTTCTTTGGTTCTGGGTTAAGTCTATGTAATGATATTATTTGAAGAAAATTCATGGGTGGATTAGTATATGGAAATGATTCTTGGAACATTTGATTAAGGATTATTCTCTTGCAGTGATATGTCGCAAGCAAATAACATATAAAAGTACCTGGAGAGCTGTCCATCCTCAAGTGGTTTCTGGCAGAAGCTCTGGTGATGCTTTACAGTCCCAAAACTGGCGTAAAGAATATGACTACAACTCACCAGGTTGTTTCTTATAACCTTGGTTTGAGCGCCACAACTGATTTATTGTTTATCAAGTTGACTCCGTGCGAAATACTTCCTCACTAAAAATCCTTCATTTTGTTGAATGGCTTAATCTATGAGGAAAGGCCAAATTGGCAACCCAATATCTTAAGATTAGTGGAACAAGCCACGCACGAATCTATAGAAGGTATGCTAAACGTATAAGTTGACATACATAACACATTCAGTTTATCTTTATAATAAGAAGATAACAGTGGAGTGGATAAGAAAATAGGTCACAGTAAATATGAAAGGACGGCTATGCAATATGATCATGTTAGAGATATGATTGTGATAAAGTATGTTTAGGCTTTTTTTGAATTTTGAGAGTTGTAGCGAAAACAATGCTTCAATAGATTGCTGGGAAGGAACCGACATAATAAGAACAATTACCACCCTCGGGAATTTGGTAATGTTCTTAATGAAAAGAAGGAAGCGTATATTCTCTTACTCTGGATGTTAATGTGTTTAGCTGAAGCATATTTTAAGAAGATTGAACACAAAATAATCGGATAATATTTTTTCAAGTTTGAGGATAAAAGTTATCACCAAGAAATTATTGCGTCCCGGCATGCTATTATATATGTGATACAATGAAGGCATCAGAGCATTGAGGATATATATAAGAGAACTTATTCAGAAGAGAAAATGAAAATCTGTTAAGATATATCTTATGTATGGATCAGTTGATGTGGGCACTGCCAGTTCATCTTCTGTAATCCAATTTGCTGCAGACAGGAATTCAAAAAACATTAAAGCAAAATCCATGTTACCGTTCATGCGGCTGTTGGACCCTTGGCCTAGTTGGGAACTATTTGAAAGTTTAAAATCAGAAAAACAATTTTAATAAATGAATACCAAATAGTGAAGGTATGTCAAATTCTTTATCTCATCTGCTATACATTTTAATTTATGATCCAAAAGTGAAGGTAATGTCAAATTCTTTTCTCTCTGCTTACATTTTATTATATTCAGGCTTATCTTCTTGTGATTTTATCTTTCAGGAAGACATAGAGAAAACTATTCAACTTTTAAGTGATCATGGGATATTGAGTAACCCTGGTGGTGAAAATGAAAGTATGTTTAGAGAAGCTGTAAACATGCTTGATGAATTGAAACAATTAAATGCTGCATTCGATGTGAGGTAAATCTAAACTCTTGTACATTCTCCAATTCCTAACTGTCAATAGTATTATTTTTCCTTCCTTTTCCATTCACCATAGGCAAATCTTGAAGTGGCCTAGAAATGTACTGCTCAATTTAATACAAGCAGTCCTTTTGGCTCTAAATAGTTTGGCTCTTAATAGATTGAATGTTCTTCATTGCTGCTGCGTGGTAAAAATAAGGCTAGATGGTAATATCCCCCAGAGCAGTGCTAGGATAGTACTACCATCTGTGGGTATACTGCCATAGAGAGGTGCCACGATGACCTTGCTTGTGACCTTTTTTGTTTTTTTATGTTGTGTTTTTCTGTTAAACTGTATTTTTGAATTCATTTTTGGTGACCTGCATATTTATGTATTTTGGCTAGTGTATATATGCATTATTTCTATTATAAATATTTCAAGTAGTACCTTCTATATAAAGTATTCAAGTACAATGTAAAGTGTATTCAAACGCGACAATATGGTATTTGACTATATTTTTCAAGTTTTCACTTCCCTGCCTAAAATACTTTTCACTTTCCAATACCCTTGTCTATTTTTTCACTTTTAATATGAAATCTATAATTTTGCATGCATTAGACTATAATTATCTCTTTCTGTTCAGTGAGGTGAAACATCGGAATGACAACTCAGCAATTGGAGAACTTGTCAACAAGTTGCAGTCAAGAAGGCCAAGCATGGAACCTTTCCTGATTCAAATGTTCTCAAAGAAAGATGAGAAATTAAAAGGAGAGGCTTCAAAGATCAGAATTGCATTGGATGGTGAAGGTGATGAGGAAGATAATGGCAGCAAGTCTGGTAAGAGCAAAATTGAGGCTTTGCAGGCTAATGTTGATTCTCAAATTCAAGGCAGCAACCATAATGTAGATCAAAAGGGGAAGCAACGGCAAGCAACCATAATGGCTAGGATCAAAGGGGAAGGAAAATAGCAAATCCAAGAAAAAACCAAAAAGGGGGTGAGAGAAGGTAGAAAAGAAGAGCAAGAAAACTTAAACAGCCTCCGAGTATATTCAGCGGCAATTATGTTACAAAATCTATTAACTTTTTTTTTTTTTTTTTTTTTTTTTTTTTTTTTTTGCATTTTCATATCTTTTTTTATTATTATTAATGTAGGTAATTTGGAAAAACATTTTAGCTGGACTTGGACCCACTAAACTCTATATTTTCATAATGTTAAAAAGTTTACCTTTGTTCTTGCAAATCTTTATTTTTTTGTTTTTATCTTATATGTGATTAAAGTTCTCTTGTTCTTTTTCTTTAATGAAAAGAGTTCTCCTATATGAGTTGCTATTTCTATACAGATCAAAAGAAAAAAAAAAATTCAAAAAAAAAAAAAAAAAAAAAAAAAATTCAAGTGGTGTTATATTTGTTGTGATGTAATTATTTACTTTTTTTTAATGTCATAAAAATCTAATTATATTCCCAGTCTATTAAATGTATCATAATTTAAAATTGCACAAACATGGGAAGTGTCCTGATAATTATACTCCCATTATATAAACAATTAACTTTGTGATGGGCAATTAACTTTGTGATGGGCAACAATGAAGGAAAGAGGCTTACAGTAATGTTCTGACATGGAAGTGCTAGTGAAGAAAATCTCATGTAAAAAGAAACAGACACTGATCCTTTAAACAAATTATATTTATTGTAGCGTAAAAAGCACCCATTAAAATAAATACGAGACGGGAGGCGACGAAGGAGCTTTTGTGTATCAAGCGGCAAAATAGAAGATACAGTCGTTTTGAGTAAAGTCATGGTGACATATGGGCTAAAACATTGGAATCGTAGAGCTAAAGTAGTGGGTGACAAAATGTGTATTGTTTATCAATTGTGAATGAGTTTCCAGCTCTATAATAAAAGCTACAACAAAACTAGAAGGCATTTTTGAAAAATCAACAACATATTTACAGAATATATATTTACAATGTATTAGACATCAACAACATATTCACATTATTATTTTTGAAAAATCAACCATTATATGTATTAGACATCAACAACATATTCACATTATTATTTTTGAAAAATCAACCATTATAAGTTTTTCAATCCATGAATTAACATGTTCATAATAGATTGTAAAACAACATGGAGGTCAAAACCAGTCAATATACAAAGAGTCTTGTGCTTCTAACAGCATGCATAGCATGGTATTATATGGGAAACTGCAACTGAGAGGAAGTAAAATGAGGGAAATTATACATTTAAAAAAATGCTGAGAATTTCTTCGTAGGAAAAGGGAAAAATGGCGTAACAGAGAAAAACAAGGGTGAGAATTTCTTTATAGGAACAATTGACTTGTGTCTTTAAGCCAAGGTTCCTTGTTAACTATTATTTAAAGGATTGCTTATACATTATCTAAGTCTTTAAGAAATTTTGAAATTGCCTAAGCAGAATCTAAAAAACTGCTTAAATCTGACTCAACATTCAGTACATTAGAAATGAATACAAACTTTAAATCTGACTCAACATTCAGTACATTAGAAATGAATACAAACTTTTTTTTTTCTGAGTTCCCAAATGCTAAGCTTATGCAGGCTGTCTTTGTTCATACTGTCATTATTTCTGCTATAGTCATTTTTGAACCCCCAAAAGTTTCCAACAGCTGGTCGATGAAAGAAGTTCAAGTTCAGTCCAAGTTTGATTGGTAAGCAACCTATACAAATGGTAGCCTTCCCCTTGAGGGAGTATATATTAGTAATTAATGTTTAATTATCCTATACAAATGTACATATCATGTTATCTTTCAAAAATGAATAGGATATATCAGTGTGCAATAATATTAAAGCCTGATTCTGATGGTACAACTTCCAAGTTTACGACTTTAATTCAATCTAGTTTCAATAGAATACGATTCGGGTTCCCCCCGCAAAAAAAAGTTCAGCTTGGGCATGGGAATTGGGAAGACAAGACAGAGTTTGAAAATTGAAAGACGGATATTTTCTTTCCTTTGAGCAAGATATTTTGTAAAAATTGAAAGCAAGTCTTCTATGGGTCAGCGTAAGCGTTCTCTTTTTCTTTGATCAAAAGCAACACAAAAGATGAGAAGGGTTATTGCTAATGGCCAATGCAAATCTCTTTCTTTTTATACATACTAGTGCTTGTACTACAAAAGAATCGTAGTTACTTTCTGCTTTCATGAGTCTCCTTATTCCTTCCTTTGCGGCAAAGAAATTGCATTTTCTCATATGGGTTTTAAATGATAAAACCAATATACTCTATGGGTTCGTTGTTTGTATCTTTCCTCTATTGCTAAGATTTCCTCTATTGCTAAGAAATAAAATTTTCTTATGTGGGTTTAAGCGAGACAATAAAGCAAGGAAACATAGTCAAATAAAAATGATGTTCAAATAAAAATGATGGAAGTACAGACTTCAAGCAAAAATAGAGGAATTCCTGATGACTGTGATTTCATTACTACCATGTTTTCCTGGTCTCTTGAGGACATTTACAATGATCAACTTTTCAAGGTTCGGTTTTTTCGCTCCTTTTGTTACAATCATGTGCAGCTTTTGGATTTTTATTTTTTTTATTGTCTTGTTCAGTTTTATGACTGTTCTATTTGGTGATATGCTTGATGGGTTGGGCTTGGAGTGGCCCAATATTCAGTTTTTTGATTGCTTTTTCTTGCCTTCCCTCCCTTTCTCTGCATGTGAATGTGCTGCAAAAGTTTACTAGAACGATTAGAGCCATGTGGAAGGAGCTCTGACTCAATCTGAATAAATAACTTGGTATTTTTGTGTAGAATGGTGATGGGTCCCAATGATGCCATGAAGTGATGGGTCCCAATGATGCCATGAAATGGTGCAATGTAATCAATGAGAAGTAATAAGTTTTGTTCCTGTACATTCTGTTAGAGTATATCAATGTAGAACGAATTGATTTTCAATGTAATTGACTAAAAATTCAACAAACCATCAACGGAAATTCATTCATTCCATTAGATTTACATGCTTTATAGAGTGAAGTCTGGGAATGGGACGGTTTTGGATATCAAGGTGCTTGTTTCACAATGATACTTATACTTGGATGGGGAAGTGCAACAGATCATACTGTAATTGGTGTATAACGAGATCTTCACTGTTTTATTATTCTTTTATCCATATGATTGATGATAAAGCTGGGTATGTTGAGTCATCATAAGTTGATGTGCATACTTGGCATCATTTTCACAGTTATTTTGGTTTGCTCATGCCTCAGAAAGAAATTGATAGTTGAGGCGCATGCCTCAGAAAGAAATTGATAGTTGAGCGAATCAATAATTTTCTTCTAACTATCACTTAAAATGTATTTTGTTCTCGTCTTCTTGAGAAATGATTGCTCATGCAAAATCACAAGCATATTTGCTTATCTTCCAATAATAACAGTTAAAACAGGCATATCATTGAAGGGTTTTCATATGTTATTAATATATAACAAAGTAACAAACCAACTTGACAAAATTCTTTGTGTTGAATAGAACAACTAATAGTCTTGCAAAGTTATATTCTAGATTGATCCATGTTATCCGCTTGACGAGTTCATTTCATTTTTGAAGTCAATACTTGTCTTCCCTTCTTTTAAAACTCTCCAGTGGTGTAGGCCATGCTTTCATCTCCAGTTTCTTGGTCTGATAATCATATGCTGTTGGAGAGTAATCTCAATGCTGGCATTCAGACTACATATTTTCAGTCATCAATGCAGCAGTTGACTCTTGAGAATTTCATCTCTAGCTTTTCATAATACGGTGATATTTCAATTTTTTGTAGGTGGCAGCAATTCCAGATTTGTTTGAATCGGTTGAGCATTATTTTTCATCATATGTACTTCCCTTATTGGAGGAAACACGGGCACGGCTGCATTCAAGTATGGAGATTATTTCCAAAGCACCAACATCTGAAGTTATTTCATTGTCTCGGAGCAGGCGTAATCAAACATTGTTTTATGATATTAAGATTGATTATTGGAGAAATGGTTTCAGTGATCGCCGCAAGGAGTTTTACAAAACATTGCCTGGAGATGTTGTTCTTCTGGCAGACATTAAACCTGAAACCGTTTCTGATTTGCAAAGGGCGGGAAGGACATGGACTTTAGCTCTGGTCACCAATATACCAGAGGATGAGATTGAGGATGCTAGTGCATCATCTACTCGTTTTAAAGTCAGGCCATCAAAGGACATTGGAGTTATTGATGAAATGCAGAAATCTTTTGTTGTGATTTTCTTGACAAATATGACCACTAACAGAAGAATATGGAATAGATTGCACACATTTGGAAATTTGGATATCATTAAGGAAGTTCTGTGTTTTCTTGACAAATATGACCACTAACAGAAGAATATGGAATAGATTGCACACATTTGGAAATTTGGATATCATTAAGGAAGTTCTGTGCCATAATTCAATGGTAAGGGGATTGAATATAATTGTTGTGAAAATGATTCTGAATGTTTAATTAAAACTTACAATAGATTTGTGCATAAATCATCTTACTGATGCTTTTCAGCACCCTTTTTATATCTTATGTATAGTGAGATTAAATATTTGTTTTTATTCAATTCAGTAATTACTTATTCATTTTCCAAACAAAATTGTTGAGTAGTTTCCTTGCATGTATTTGAAATGGCGCCTATATTAATGGGTTTAATTGGAGTTCCATGTAATGTAACAGGTTGAGGAAAATTGCAGCCTCTGTTCCATGCAGAACAATGGAACCTGGGATGAAAATATCGTTATGAATCTATCATCGACATTGAATGAATCTCAAACTGAGGCAAGTTTGGCTTGTCTTTGTAGAACGCAGTGCAATCACAGGTCTGCTGTGGAACTTATTTGGGGCCCTCCAGGGACAGGGAAAACTAAAACCATTAGTATGTTTCCCTTTACCCTCTTAAGGGTGAAATGTAGGGTCCTGATTTGTGCCCCAACCAATGTTGCTATAACAGAATTGGCTTCTAGGGTCCAAAAGTTGGTGACAGAATCTTCTGAAACAGACTCAGCAACTGATGCTTTGTTTTGTTCTTTAGGAAATATTCTTTTATTCGGGCATAAAGACAGGCTCAAAGTCAACTCAGATATTGAAGACATATATTTGGATTATCGTGTTAAGAGGCTTACAGAGTGCTTTGCACCTTCGACTGGTGGGCGGTACTGTTTCACTGCGACAAAAATTTTTTTTGAAGATTGTGTTTGTCAGTACTATATTTTCTTGGAAAATGAATTGATCAAAGAGCAGGATTATGATCAGGAAAATAAGAAAAAAGATGAAAGTTGCAGTAATGGGGCTGATGTTTGCAGTGGAAAGCATAAATCATTTCTTGAATTCATGAGAGAAAGATTCTGCTCTACTGTATCACAACTGAAAAGATGTTCACAACTGAAAAGAATGTTATCCTTAACTATCACTCATATACCTGAAAGCTACATTCTGAAACATAATATTCAAAGTTGTAAAAACCCTTGTTATTTTACTGTGCTCTTTTGAAAATTTGCTCTTCGTTGATGATGTAGTTTCTGAAGAACTTGAGAAGCTTTTTTGCACAGGAGGAGTTATGATGGGATTCTTTCTAAATTTTGTAGATATTTCATTTACAATTGTACATGGCATAGAACCAAATGCCTTTCCACTTTAGAAACTTCTCTTATAGTTCCTTTTCAGTGAACTGAGCTTCCAGTTTTGGTATGGAGCAAGTTATTTCTATAGAAGGAATTCTGTATTCTATAGAGGAATTCTGCTTTCAAACAGCTTCCTTAATTTTCTGCACAGCATCTAGTTCATATAAACTCTATTCATTGGAAATGCAACCATTGAACTTATTGGTTATTGATGAAGCAGCCCAGTTGAAAGAATGTGAATCAATAATTCCCCTTCAGCTTCCCGGTATTAAACATGCCATTCTTATTGGTGATGAATGCCAGTTACCAGCTACTGTTGAGAGCAATGTACGGATATAATTCCTAACTTTTTCTTCTTCTTTTTCTTTTTTTTGTATTTCTTCTTTTTTTAAAAACTCCTGTTTTGTTATATTAATGTCATTTTTTTTTTCTATAGCTTGCTTATGATGCTGGCTTTGGAAGAAGTTTATTTGAAAGGTTGAGCTTCTTAGGTCATCCGAAACACCTTTTAAAAATGCAGTACAGAATGCATCCATCAATTAGTAGCTTCCCAAATTCAAATTTCTACTCTAATAAGATCATCGATGCACCAAATGTTAAGATAAGAAGTTATGAGAAATGTTATCTTCCAGGATTCTTCATAAATGTAACGAGAAGAGGTGGATGATGTTGGACGTAGCCAAAGAAATATGGCTGAGGCAGCTGTTGTGTTGAAATTAATTCATTGCCTATACAAAGGTATGATAAGTGGGAGTCCGATATTTTATTTGTATCCTGATTTGGAAATTGTTATTTGTGATTTATAAAATTCATATTTTTCCTGCTTGGTTTATGCTGTTATTACATTTTTTAATACTGACATTTTAAGAAATAGTTTACATTGCATTGAAATGCTAACTTCGCTCTCCCTGTATGGCCTAATATTTCACAAACTTAATGACCATGTTATATGCAACAACTAGTTTGATTACTTGTTATAATTCTCTGTAAATTTATGAACTAAACTAGATCTTTTTTGAATCTCTAGCAGCGAGCATTGTCCTGCTATTTGCTTGATTTTAACAAATGGAAAAATTATCTACGAGTCACGAGTTTTGTATACTCTGCTATTCATTTTATCTACCAGTAGTTTTGAATGCCCTTTCGTTTTTGTTTTTCCTTTTTCTTCTGAAGTTGGTAATTCAAGTATGGGTACTCATTGTAGGTGGCATTTAACATCCTCTTCTTGTTTCTGATATTTTGGATTCAATATTTTATGCAAAATATGCCGTCAGCCAATTTTTGCTGATTTCTTAAATAAATTCTTACATGAGGTTATATGCCAAACCAGTATTTTCTTGTATTGGAACCTCATGTTTGTTTTATTCAAAGGAGGAAATGCATGAGTAAAAATAGTGGAACATAATGTAGTAATCATCTTGTGTTGAGAAGTCGAAGAGTGCACAAGGACTCATAATGCATATTTTAAAAAAAAAAAAAAAGTAAATGCCGTTGAAGTTGTAATGCTTTTTTTGCTTTCTATTTGCAACTTTTGTGCTTGCATAGTATTCTGTATCTGTTAGCAAAAACATGCAGTCAGTCTTGATTGATTGCTCTTTTGGAATCCTTTGGCCTGTTATTTATGTAAGCATGGAATGGCTTAAACAGAATCTCAGCCATCGGCGTTATATCCCCCGTATGCTGCTCAGGTAGTTGCATTCAAGACAAATCTAGTCCAAATAGCTTTTCAACATATTGATTCAGGAAGTATTGTAAATATATCATCAGTGTAATGTTGGTGGTATTGTTTTGTGGTCTGACCCTCGAGGTTAATGTTTTCTCTTACAAGGGTAGGTAGACTCATATTACTTTTCTTCTACTACCTTTTCTTTATTATTCTAATATTAACTGTCAATAAAGCATTTAACTGTATTATTTTCTCCTGCGTAAGCTATCCAAATCGATAGAGCCTGGTATGTGTTGATCAAATTTTGCCTTTGTCTTGATCGGTAATTATGTTTATCTTTGCAATTTCACCTCAAACAATAACCGTCATTGAATTTTAAATTAGTTGCTTTCATTTATTTTAATTATGCTCCCTCAAACTCTTAACTTGTTTCATTAATAATAGTTTTAGGACTAAAAATGCTAATTTGAAATGGTAGTGAGTGTAGTGTATGTTACTGAATATCTTAGCATTTTTTTTTTGTCCATTCAGGCATTGCCTTTGGATTTTAGGGAATGAAAGAACACTTTTTAGAAGTAGATCTATCTGGGAAATGCTAATTCGTGATGCAAAACATCGTCAATGTTTCTTTAATGCTGATGAAAATAAAGAATTGGCTAAAGCCATTCTAGACGTCAAGAAAGAGTTTGATCAACTTGATGATTTGCTTAATGGAAATAGCGTGCTTTTCAAATGTGCCAGGTGGAAGGTACTTACCTGTAGTCAAACCTATTCTATTCCTCACATTTTTCCTATTGTGTAATCTCATCTCCAACATCCATGTGTTTTGCATTAATCAGAGCAAATGTTTTTCATGTCAATTCATTGCATCCCCAGGTTCTTTTCAGTGAATACTTTAGAAGATCATTTGGAAAGCTGAGAGCAAAATTTAGAAGATCATTTGGGAAATGCGGAGAGCAGAACGGAAAATGACTTCTGTTTTTGAACCTTCCCTGCTAAGACTTTTCGTAAGTGGAAGTGGCGTCCTAAGAAAAATAAATGTGGATTTAAACTTGTGAAAGCTCTTCTCAAAGCTTGAAACAGTTCCAAGGTTGAAGAACTGTTAAAGTGTGATTCTGTAGTTCGATATAGTGAACGAAGTAAAGATACATTCAAGTTTCTGAAGGTCCGTGGGACATATAATTGACCTTTGGAAAGATATTCGCGAGTTTGGTTAAAAAACGTCTCAGTGGGACTTTGAAAGAACACACAGATGAATTTCATCAAGTCTGTTGCAAAATGCAAAATGGTTTGAAAGGGTAATGTTTTGTGGACATTAATTCTGAACCTGCATCTATTTTTCCCTTGAATTCTATGTGAACTCCTGTTCTGAAGCAAGAAACCAAATAAGCATTGAATTTTTCCTTGTGTTATTTTTTATTATTTGGTTTTGTCTAGAGATCTTGGAAAGTTCGCCAGAAGTTTTGGGTCCAATCGCTCATTTGAAATATTTCCGTTATAAAGTCCCTATCAATCAATGGAAGCAGGAATGATTCAAGATTTTGGTTGCTTCTGATTCTAGTATGCCTATGTGTAAAACTCCTAAAAAGTGAGTGATGTAGTATTGTTGCTAATGAAATTCTACTGCCCTTGTCATCTGGAGTTGTGAAAACACTTGCTTTCCTGACCGTGATGGTAAAGCGAATGTTAGAACTTCCCTTTTGAAGTGGACAGGATGAGAGTTGGAAAGTCAATTGTGTTTCCATAACGAGACTGAACTGTGTTTATTCTAGGTACGGGTCAGGGGACTGGGAAACCAACTGTTTAACAAATGAAGTTGTTCAGAAAAGAGCACAACTGTTTTAACAATGAAGTTGTTTCAGAAAGAGCAACAGTTCCATATGGCAACTGAAGGATTTGGTGAAGACATTGGCAATTTGTCAAAGGATGCCTGCTGGAGAAACAATGTTTCTGATGATGTAAAAAAGGTTGAGGACAGTGTTAGAGAAGATAATAAGAACGTCTTGCACCAGCTTTTTGTGACAGTCAGTTCTACACTTTGTTACGCTGTAAAACATCATGTTTCACAGCTGAAAAGGTGTGTAAACATATTTAACTAGTAGAACAAATACTTTCAAAATACGAGTTTGCATTTCTTTATTTCGTGGATGTGCTTGATACTGTTTCTGTGTAGAATCTCTCGTAAATATTAGATGAAATCTTAGACATTTCTATATTTGTTAGATGTGTCAATTTCTTCTTATATGTATCTTTCTTTTCTCTACCATGACTAATTGGTTGTCTAAGATTTCAGAATACAGAAATGTCTAAAATTTCGTCTAATAGTTACAAGAGATTTTATACATTTCTGTATTCATTTTTTAAGACATCTAGATTGATGAAATTCTTACATAGGTTAGTTACCTGTGAATACATGAAGAAGTTTTTTACATGGAGATTTGTTTTATTACAAAATCTTTATTGTATGCGTACAGCTTTGCATCGGGGGGAAAATATATGGGGAAAATATATGTGGCAGGAAAGCAATGTCGTTGGATATGGAAGATTGATGGTGAAAGGCACAGTTCAAGGTACATTCCCAGAATTCTTTATTGATATTCTTCCCAATTTAGTAATCCTCTTACTATAATAATTTTCCAAGAACAAATTTTTGATGATGCTGATGGAACAATAGGTTGATGATGCTTGATGGAACAATAGGCAATTCATATTTTGAAAGATTTCCTGATGTGAGGCAGTTTTTACATGGAAAAATGGGAAGTCTGGAATCCATTGCCTTACAAACTTTCATAACAACAAGGGAAGTTAACTATGATAAGTTCTGTTCAATTTATTGGCCTCGTTTCAATACACAAATGACAAAGAAGCTCGACTCATCTAGAGTCTTTACTGAGATAATGTCTCACATAAAAGGAGGTTTGCAATCAAGTGAATCTTGTGACGGTAGACTTGCGAGAAAAGATTATGTTACTCGTTCTGAGGGCTGAGGGTACGTCTGGTCGACTGTTAAGTAAGGGAAGAAAGAAGAGAAATTGAATAATATGACAGATTTTATGAAGATTATGAAAAGATCGAAAGACTTAGCAAATGGATGATTTTGAATACATGCTGATTTTGTTGATTGATCTTCTATCTCAGGCTTCAGCAAATGAAAATATCGAGGGGTGACAACATAATGGATTTTGTCTATATTGATGAAGTTCAAGATCTTACAATGAGACAGATTGCTCTTTTCAAGCACATTTGCAGAAACGTTACTGAGGGCTTCATTTTTTCTGGTGACACAGCACAAACCATTGCAAGGGGCATTGATTTTAGGTTTGAAGACATAAGATCTGTGTTCTACAATGAATTTGTTTTAGGATCAAAAAGTGAAGGATATGACAGAAGAAAGGAGAAAGGCCAAGTATCTAAAATTTTTCATTTGAGCCAGAACTTTCGTACCCACAAGTATCTAAAATTTTTCATTTGAGCCAGAACTTTCGTACCCATGCTGGTATTCTCAAGTTAGCTCAAAGTGTTATTGACCTTCTTTATCGTTTTTTCCCTTCATTTGTTGATATTTTAAGCCATGAAACTAGTCTTATATTTGGTGAAGCCCCAGTTTGGCTTGAAGCGACAAATGATGAAAATGCAATTGTGACTATATTTGGGAGCAGTGGGAATGAAGGGACCAATTTTGTTGGGTTTGGAGCAGAACAAGTCATATTAGTGCGTGATGATTCGGCAAAGAAAGAAGTGTATGACTATGTTGGGAAACAAGCCCTTGTCTTGACTATAATGGAGTGCAGGGGCCTAGAGTTTCAGGTCAGTATTAGTTTTTTTTCCTTTTTTTTTTTCCTATTTTATTAATTCTGTTAGAGGATTTGCTTATTCTGTTTACAATCATTTAGCATTTTGAGTTCTCATTTTGAATTATACTTTTTGCTTTTGTATGTCCTGAAATCATAATGCATTGTTTTGATAATTCAGTTATCGATCAACTATTGTAGGATTTTTCCAAGGTAATATTTCTTGGACCAGAATAAAATGTAACATAATGAAAAAGTGAATAGAAGTGCTATGGTGCTCTTTATCTCATTACAGCTTATCAAACATAGAGCTAATGATTATTTGACCTTGTTCACTCTCATCTATTTTCGTCTTCTTTTGGAGGAGATCTGTTCATTGTTTACTATTTATTGTCACAAATAAACAAAACCCTTTCCCTAATTGAAAGAGAGAAGTGGCTTTCTACTTGTCGTTGGTCATATTGATACAAACTAAACTGTGTTACACTCAGCGCTGAGTAATCATTTTCTTATGAAATATTCAAAATTCCTTAACTTATGTCCTATTTGTTATCTACTTTATAATTTGTAATGTTATCTTTTGTAGGATGTACTGTTGTACAACTTTTTCGGCTCATCACCTCTAAGAAATAAATGGAGAGTTGTCTATGAGTACATGAAGGAGCAAAATTTACTTGATGAGTCCTCTCCTGTTTTCAATATGGCAAAACACAATGTCTTATGCTCTGAGTTGAAGCAGTTATATGTTGCAATCACTCGTACAAGACAAAGACTATGGATTTGTGAGAATTTAGAAGAGTTGTCCAAACCAATGTTTGATTACTGGAAGATTGTGAAGAACTTATGAAGAGTGTCCAAACCAATGTTATGATTACTGGGAAGAAAGAAAAAAGCCAATTAATCCAAGTCAAAAAGGACACTGGATTACTTACTTGCACAAGCAATGCAAGTTTAGCAGCAAGTCCAGAAGAAGTGGAAATCCACCAGGGGTTACAAGGTAAGCTGATGCAAGTTAGCAGCAGTCCAGAAGAGTGGAAGTCCAGGGGTTACAAGGTAGCTGCATCTTGTTTCTGTGATTTTTATCTGAATCACTTATAGCTAGCGTAGTTGTTGTTGTAATTAATGTTCTTAGTACTAGATAATTCATTTTATGCGAAAGCTGCTTGATAATGTTGGTCATAATGATGGGAGATTTTTCAGATTGATGTAAATGAACTTGTCCACTAAATTTATGCAAATTTGAGAGCCTATACTTGTAGGTGTTGAGTACAATGTTTTCCCCTTCATCTAACTATAATATTAGTTGCCATCAGGTGTTTCTTTTATGGATAAGGACACTGTCTTTCTGATCTATCTGAGTAAGTGTAACTTTTATCTATCTTTTCATTCTGGCACACAGCTTTTACGTGAGGGTAACTATGAGATGGCAACAATGTGTTTTGAAAGAGCAGGAGATACATATGGTGAAAAAGTAGCCAAGGCTGCTGGGCTTAAAGCAACTGCAGACTGCCGTGGGCTTAAAGCAACTTGCAGACAGAATGCATTGCTTCAAACCCTGGAAGATGGGCTGTCTTGTAGCCCCGGGCTAGGCGTGCTGAAATTCGAATCCTATTGGCAAAGTTGGATGCTGCCCTGCAGAAAGTTTTTTTTTGTTTTAAAGCAAGTATGAGCGGGGCAGGTAAAGATTAAACAATAGATTCATGCTCTTGTGTGTCCTGAAACGTGCACGTTTATCACTAAGTATCTTGACAAATAATCATATGTTCCATTCTGTATATCATTAGGCATTCTAGCTTCCTTAACTTATCTTCCATTGTATGGTTCAATATTATTTGCAATGTGGGGAATCTGCCTATTGAAAGAGCTCGGAGAAATGCTTTCAGTCTTGCTGATGCTATGGCTTGCAGCAGAATTATAATGCTCACAGGTAACCAATTTCTTCAGATTGCTTGTCTGAGTGTTTGAAAGGAGAAACTCTTTGACATGGCTTGCAATAATATTCAATGCCTGGGAAAACAGTGACCTGGAGATCAGAAATATATTCAATGCTGGAAACAAGTGACTGCGGATCAATATATGGTTAAAAGAAGCAAAGAAATGGCCAAAATTGAACAAGAGTTTCTGGAGAAATGTGCTCTCCATTATCATAAGCTGAATGATAATAGAGCCATGATGAGATATGTTAGAACCTTTGATTCTATGGACTCAATTCGAACTTTCTTGAATGCTTTAGAGTGCCTTGATGAGCTTCTGTCACTGGAAGAAGAATCAGGCAACTTTATGGAGGCAGCAAAGATTGCAAAGTTGAAAGGTGAACTTCTACTTGAGGCTGATCTACTTGGAAGGGCTGGAGATCTTAAGCGTGCAGCTATGCTTATTATATGTTACGTGTTTGCGAATTCTCTGTGGTCATCTGGGAGCAAAGGCTGGCCTTTAAAGCGTTTTCCACAAAAGGAAGAGCTCTTGGCAAAGGCAAAGTCATTTGCAGAGACCGAGTCAAGCCAATTTTATGAGCTTGTATGTCTGGAATCTGAAATTTTGTTGCATGATCTAGGTAACTTGTCCATGATGATGAAACAACATCTGAATGCTTCTCAGAGACTTAAGAGTATCAGAGGTGAAATTTTATCAGCTCGAAAGATTCTTGATGCCCATTTTCAAGTAAACAGCTCAAAGTACGTGTGGGAAAATGAATTTGTTCTTGATCTAGAAAACTTGTTGGAAGAGAGACTATCAGAAGATGAGGTTTCCATTGAAACTCTGATGTACTCCTGGATATTTTGGAAGGCTAAGATTGTTCATGTATTTGAGTATCTCGAATGCCTTGAAACTCACGATCTGAGTGAATATGCAAGTTATGGAGAATTCTGCTTGAATTATTTGGGTGTGCAAAGACATTTCAATAATCTAAATGCCATATATGTCCTTATAAACTCTGATGCAGAATGGTTGAGAGAAATAGACAGCAGATACATAAAAAGGATTGGAAAGCTCAGCTATGTAATAGACAGCAGATACAATAAAAAGGATTGGAAAGCCAGCTTATGTAAGATTATTCGCCAGTTGATTCTCTGCTTTCTCGTTAGTTATTGGTCTTCTGAAATTAATATCTGTTGCAGTGAAGGTTTTGGTACTAATCTTGAATCCCCGTATATAAATCTCATTAAAATTCATTTTCTCTCTCTGCCAAAGCAGGTCTCTTCTTCAATCTATGAGGTCCTCAAAAAAATTTCTTTTGAAATTTCCAAGTTTCTCGACCATACGTATGGTGAACAAAAGCCTGCAGAAATTTATATTTACGCATTTTCAAGTTGAACAATCCTTGCGCTGCATTTACCTCTGACTGTAGAGAATCATTGAACAGAATAGCAATTTCTTTTAACAGAAGAAACTGAAGACGTTTCAGAAATCTCTTCAAAGAAAATGGATTTTTGAAAAATGTTAGTCTTTGAAAGAGTGAGCCTGTCTTATGGGCAACTTGGAAGATGACGTATTGTGATTCTGGTTCTGGTAATGCTATGTAACAATGAATTATGAGAAAATCATGGGTGGATTAGAATGGAATGATTCTTGGAACAATTTGATTAAGGATCTCTGCAGGAATGTCGCAAGCAATAACATTAAAGTACCTGGAGAGCTGTCTCTCAAGTGGTTTCTGCAGGAAGCTCTGGTGGATGCTTACAGTGCCATCTGGCGTAAAGAATATGACTACATCTCACCAGGTTGTTTCTTATACCTTGTTGAGCGCCAACTCACCAGGTTGTTTCTTATACCTTGTTGAGCGCCAACTGATTTTGTTATCTTGCTTCCGTGGATACTTCCTCACTACAAAATCTTCTTTTGTTGAATGGCTTATCTATGAGGAAGGCAATGGCAACCAAACTTCTAGATTAGTGGAACAAGCCCCACGATCTATAGAAGGTATGCTAAAACGTATAGTTGACATCATCCATCAGTTTCTTTATAATAAGAAAGAGACAGTGGAGTGGATCAGAAAATGTCACAGTAATATGAAGGACGGCTATGCAATTGTCATGTTGAGATTAATTGTCATGTTGAGATTGATTGTGATAGTATGTTTGCTTTTTTTGAATTTTGGGTTGTGCGAAAACATGCTTCATGATTTGCTGGGAAGGAACGACATAACAGAACAATTACCTCGGGAATTTGGTAATGTTCTTAAGAAAAGAAGGAAGCGTAATTCTCTTACTCTGGATGTAAATGTGTTAGCTGAAGCATTTAAGAAGATTGACAATAATCTGGTAATTGTCAGTTTGGGTAAAAGTTATCCAAGAAATTTTGGCCCGGATGCTATTTTTGTGTACATGAAGGCCAATCAGAGCATTGAGGATATATTTAGAGACTTATTTCCAGAGAGAAATGAAAATTCTGTAGATAACAGAGGATCAGTTGATGTGGGCACTGCCAGTTCATCTTCTGTTATCAATTTTGCTGCAGACAGGAATTCAAACATTGAAGCAAAATCCAATGTTACCCATCCTTTGACCCTTGGCCATAGTTGGGAACTATTTGAAAGTTTAAAATCAGAAAAACATTTAATAAATGATCCAAAAGTGAAGGTAATGTCAAATTCTAAAGTGGAAGGTAATGTCAATTCTTTTTCTCTCCTGCTGTACATTTCTTATTATATTCGCGCTTATCTTCCTTGTGATTTGATCTTTTCAGAAAGCAGATAGAGATATATCTTAATTTCTAACTTTTAAGTGATGCATCGGGATATTAGAGTAACCCCCTGATGGGAAAATGAAAGTATGTTGAGAGAAGCTTGCAAAAAATGCTTGATGAAGATTGAAACAATTAAATGCTGCATTAGATGTGAGCGTTAAATCTAAACTCTTGTACATTGTCTCCAATTCCCTAAACTGTAATAGTATTCGAGTTTTTCCTTTAACTGTCAATAGTATTATTTTTCCTTCCTTTTCCATTCACCATAGGCAAATCTTGAAGTGGCCTAGAAATGTACTGCTCAATTTAATACAAGCAGTCCTTTTGGCTCTAAATAGTGGAATGTTCTTCATTGCTGCTGGGTAAAATAAGGCTAGATGGTAATATCCAGAGCAGTGCTAGGTATGTACACCATCTGTGGCTATACTGCCATAGATGGTGCCACATGACTTGCTTGTGACTTTTTGTTTTTTATGTTGTGTTTTTCTGTTTAAGCTGTATTTTTGAATTCATTTTTGGATTATTATGTATTTTTGCTAGTGTATATATTTGCATATTCTATATAAAGTATTCAAGTACAATGTAAAGTGTATTCAAACGCGACAATATGGTATTTGACTATATTTTTCAAGTTTTCACTTTCCTGCCTAAAATACTTTTCACTTTCCAATACCCTTGTCTATTTGTTCAGTTTTAATATGAAATCTATAATTTTGCATGCATTAGACTATAATTATCTCTTTCTGTTCAGTGAGGTGAAACTTTGGAATGACAACTCAGCAATTGGAGAACTTGTCAACAAGTTGCAGTCAAGAAGGCCAAGCATGGAACCTTTCCTGATTCAAATGTTCTCAAAGAAAGATGAGAAATTAAAAGGAGAGGCTTCAAAGATCAGAATTGCATTGGATGGTGAAGGTGATGAGGAAGATAATGGCAGCAAGTCTGGTAAGAGCAAAATTGAGGCTTTGCAGGCTAATGTTGATTCTCAAATTCAAGGCAGCAACCATAATGTAGATCAAAAGGGGAAGTATTTTTCATCAAATCAAGCAGCAAACCAATAATGGGTAAGATCAAAAGGGAAAGATGAAATAGCAAAATCCCAAAGAAAAGCAAAGGCGTGAGAGAGGTAGATTAAGAAGAGCAAGAAAAACTTAAACAAGC